TAACTTCGTCACTGAAATCTTGGAATTTTATTGAATACTAGCTAATCTCGCGCGGTTTCACTCGCTGCTCGGCTCCATATATATTTTCCTATAGCACTCAAGAACATTGTAGCTATCCATCAGTGAAATAATTTTGGCAATCTGACCAGTGGTTCCAAAGATTACCCCCTACATACAAACTTACAAATATACAAATTTTACCTCTTTATAATATTAGAAAAGGTCCCGCACGAAACAATTTTTTTTTCAAACCTAGCCCCACACTAAGATTTTCTCCTGTGTAGTGGATGCGGTTACAAACATACAATTTCACATACACATGGCACTCACACCCAAAAGCCCAATTTGTGGATCACACAAAGAGTTCCGTGCGGGAATCAACCCGCGACACGTTGCACGGCAGCCAGTTGCCCAGCCACCGCACCAAAAGTAGATACTCACATATATAAATTTCGAAGCAATGCAGTCTGTTTAGAAGCGATTTAGACATTAGAGTTGAACGTTGAACGTTTGCAATAAACTTGTTTTTAACTAACAATAAAAACTGAAATCTTTGAATTATTATTACTTAAAACTTTGTAAGCTTTGTATTACAAAATTAGATGAAGCTGTAATTTATTGATACACGTAATACTGTTTACGTAACGATCACACTATACTTTTACTAAGGTACAGTTTGAGACTGCAAAATAGTTATTTTGGATAGATTTTTATCTTCTTTACAAATGCTAAACATAAAATCTTACAACAATTTATTGATTTCGATTTTTTTTTTCGTCTAAGCAATCGCTGCTGGTAGTTGTGTTGCGAGTTCGTTGTCGGTTTTTTTGAGATCAGGGTCTTATAGGGATTTAAAATGAAATCAGATTTTTTTCTTAGAGCTTCTTATATTGGTCTTCTAAGGAAATAATGGTCATAGTTCACTTTAAAAACTTATGTCTTGAGATATTTATAACAGAATTTGTTTTTCAAATCATCAGCCTTGGAGATATGTGCACAAAATATTTGGAGTAGTACCTTTTTTAGGAAAGTACAGCAACCTACACAGTTCGAAGAAAATTTCACTACCTAACATTTTAATAACGATCGGAAACACATTATTATTTGTACTTAACACGGCAGTCGAAGGTCACGCCACATTCATACCTCACAATTTTAATAAAACTTTCACTGTAATTCATTCTCTTTTATCATAAGTACTATAATCTTCCTACACCGTGTGAGAAATATTAAATTGTTGATGTAACTCACAGTTTAACCTTATTCCATTATCATTTTAACTAGGTATTGTAGTTATTTAAAGTTAGCTGAGTCATCTTTCTATGTGACGAGTGCTTACTGCATTTTTTGTCTAAGTAAATATACGAGCGGTTGAAACGCTGGCGTTTAAACGCTCGTTTTTAGGACGTAATTTGGAAAGAACAAACATTATTAATGAAATATGAAATTGACTGCACGGTTGGTGCGGTGGCTGGGCAACTGGCTGCCGTGCAACGTGTCGCGGGTTCGATTCCCGCAAACGCATTTGTGGAACAACATTTTGTGTGTTCCACAAATTGTTGTTTCGGGTCTGGGTGTCATGTGTATGTGACATTGTACTATATGTTTGTAAACGCACCCACAACACAGGAGAAAATCCTAAAGTGGGGCAAAGCTTTTTTACAAAAAAAAAATCTTATACTATTTTCTAATTAATACTCGTCATATTTATTGCTTAATAAATTAATGATCTTAAGTTAGTCTCAATCAGCCAGGGTTGCGGGGCTAGCACAACAACGCTCTATGCAATATTTTCACTGGACGTCAATGCACTTACTCAGTCTAATTATATCTTAGAACTAGAAATAGTTCTAACGTATGTAAATAAACAGTTACTATAATCTAGTCAGTTACATCTAAAGCCAGCACTTTAGCTCCCAACTTTCAATAGAAATTACGTTCATTTTCATTTCCAAGTAAAAGTTGTACAAATATCAAAACGTTCAGATACCTAATAAAATTCTAATAAAGTGAAATTATTCATAGCATACCATGTAATATCAGATAGAAAACTGTCTGTTTGTCTGTCTCTCTCAGTTATAGAATTTGATATTCCATATTCATTAACTTTCAATAGTATTACGATAACAGTTTTAAAGTTATTGAGACAGAAGCTTGTTTTTTTTTATTAATTTTCTTACTTAATTAGTATTAAAATTATCATACGATTAGTGAAATACTAGGTTCATTGAAGCTTGACATTTGGCACTAGAGTTCATTTGACCTAATTAGCAATGCATACATTTGCGTGCAAATGTCAAACGCTAGGCGTTCGGTTACTGTGGGTTACAGCATCGATGCTAATTAGTTTAAAACCTTCTTTTAATAAAAAAAAGCTTTTTTATTTGTTATTTATACGAAAGATTCGTGTTTGTTTTTATAGTTATATGCTAGTGTGTGATATAACGTTTTTATTGAAATTCTCGTGGTAATTTCTAAACATTCCAAATACACTATTCACCTGCAATAATTGCAATGAGAATAGATATTTTTCCATCTCAGAGTTAAAGTTACCGAAAAATCCCAATTCAAATCTTTCGACAAGTTACCTCCACTTACTATTTAACTATTGACATCATTAACTAACCCCTTATACATATGTATATCATTATTGTTCTTCTGTTTACACATAAATTAAATACATATTTTATTGTCATTATAAAAGATGAACAAATTCATAAAAGATGAATCTTGAATAAGCTTCTCGTGTGTCGGCGCAGCACTTTTACCGTATTGCGCAACATAACACCAAACTCGTTATAATATAATGCACCCAATAAATTCTTTCTTCACCACTTATGTAACGCGGAAGATGTGTCTCATTAAAATTATATTTCGATCAATGATTGTCTGTTCGTTATTTTCGGAAGTTTTTTTATTCGAAAGAGCGGCTAACGAGCTTATTTTTTACCTGATGGTAAGCAATCAGCTCATGGACACTCAGAACACCATAGGAGTTACGATTGCATTTTTGGCCTTTTCGGGTATCCAGGGATAGGGGAGGGATGGGGGAAGGAAAGATTGGGCCTTCGGTAACCTTACGCAGACGGCGAAACACAATGATATGGTTGTTTCACGGTTTTCTGTGAAGCAGTGGTATCATTCTGTTTGAACCGAAGCTTGGCTCTCCCACACTAAAAATGTTTTGGTTATTGGGAGCCGATGTTTGTCTGTCGGTTTGAATCAGTGGTCTGATAATAGTAATAATAAGACTTGTTTAACAATTTTTATTGCTGTCACTACAAAATAAGACGCGGTTCTCCTCGACCACGACCTGAGATGTGAATTCATTTTCAGTTTGGTACTCAATCAAGACTCAGGTACTATTTGATGTTTATTTCCGAAACTGTCCTCACAGGTAGTTGGTGTGCTAGTCTGAAAATAAAGATCAATCCAATGTTTTCGAAAAAATAACGGCTGCATTAAAACCATGCCAGTAACCAGTAACCAGCAGTAACCGGTGCAAATAAAGTCATATTACTTAAGTTTTAGATCCTCTTTTTAAGTAACACGTAACAAATTATTGAACTACTTTTTTTTAGTTTATAGTTTTGTATTATTTTCTTTTAAAAAAATAACCTTAATTCAAAAATTGCTGGTAGACGTCGCAACTAATGTACCTCACACTTTTTACACGTCGCGGTCGATAGTACGAAAAAAAAAACGATATGACCGGTCGGTTATACAACATTGCATTGCTCGATTATTATCAATCGACTCGCGCTAATTCACCGACACACGATACTTCAGACACGAATGTAGGGAATGAGTTGAGGTATTGTAGAATGTTATACACATAGAATACATATGAGCATACATAATATACAGCCAGGGGTAAAAATGCAATTACACTCTACCAATTTTAAAATGACTAAAATTTCTTTGTAGTAAAAGTGTAATGGTTCACAGCCAGTTTATTCAATAATGTAGATTCTATGCTATAAATTAAAGCAGTCCTCAACCATTGACTCTACTCTACAAAGATATTTTGTTCATTTAAAAATTGGTAGATTGCAATTTTATTTTTGACCCCTGACTGTACATGTTAGGTAATAATAAAAACTATTATAGACATGTTTTCGCTAGACGCAATAAATGGAAAAAACTCGTCATTGGGGACAATGCATTTTTAGATTCTCCACATCTCAATTTCCCCTATTAGCTCCTCACTAGGATTTGGTAATTTATCATGGATACATTAAGAAACAATTAATTTCATACACACACCAGTAGATATGATCCGAAACTAAACTTTGATCAGACGGATGAGTTGTTCCATTCTTGAATCGAGTCTACGTAAAAAACTCAGTATCTTTATAATCTTGATAGAATATAAATGATAAGACTCCGTTTATAAAAAATACACATATATAAATTCATTAAAAACGATAATAAATATCACGTAGACGGCTACACAGACTAATTGTAATAAATCGTGTTTGATTAATTGTATCTATCGATGACTTGCAGGTCGTATATTTTATTTACACGTCACCCTGTACACGCATCAACTCCTTACTAATTGATTGAGAACAAGTTCTAACTAGTAGGTAACAGACATAAAGAGATCATATTTAATAACGATTTGTATTACAATATCATTAGTTTAAATAATTTTGATGTTTGTTAAGTTTGGCAGAGCGATGCTTCGGCACGAATGAATCGCCTCGTCCGAAGTGATACCACGGCCTCATAGAAAACCAGCTTCAAACAACACACACATAGCGTTGTATTTTGCCGTATGAGTGAGGTTAATGGAGGCCCAATCCTTCCTCTCCCCCAATCTCTCCCCAATCCCAAAATCTGCAAGTCCCTAATCCCCAAAAGGTCGGCAACGCACTTGCAACACCTACGTTACTGTAGGTGTTCATTGGTGGCACTGATTGCTTATCATCAGGAAATCCCCTCGTTTGCTACTGAGCACTGGCTCATTTTGCAATGAAAATGAATTATTTTCTCACCTTGGATGTACTTCTACTCTGAGAACTTCATCACCAACTTGTAGGTTCTCTGGTATCCTCACGAATCTTAAGTATTCACCAACTGGATAGAAATTACAACCTGAAACAAGGAGTAAGCAATTTATTAATTTTTTGAAGTGTAAAAATAACCTAAAAACCCTGTTTTTGCTTAATTTATCGCTAGATACTTTCTCTGTTGTTATATCCGTAGGTACTTATGCTTAAACCTTTAAAACTACACAACGGAATTTGATAGATAGAGTGATTTAAAAGGAAGATTTATATGTATAATACCTAACATCAAGGAAATTTAATCAATATTTATCATCCTAAATCAATACACGCAAACTTCTCAAAGCAATTGACAATAACACTTATTATGTATAAAAATTACAGTGTCTCCAACAATATCTATTATGCGCAAATATTTTAAACATAGTTCCGAAGACAATAAAGCAAAAAGCGGACACACTCCCTAAGACAATCAGACTAGCAGCGAGACTAATTATTCTGCTTACGACATTGTCCCACATGTGGACCCTATTCAATATGTAGCGGGCTATTGTTGGGGAGGGAAAAACTGTCAGTGATAGGTGATCGGCTGATACTATTTGGTAATAAAGGATTTGTAATAGTACCTTTGGAAATAAGATCACAACTGTTTTGTTGCGGTTTTACGAGATATCAATGTATTACAAAATAAAAGTAATGTAATAGAAGTTCATGCATAGGGCATCATTATTAACTGAAAAAGGTCGTAAATGAAAACTAAATTACTTTGCAAAACTGATTTGTAGCTAAAAAACCTACCCAAAGGATTGCGCACTCAAATCCAGCCATTACCCAAGCTGTAACCAAATGCTCCAAAAAACTTCCTCATTGATTTCCATCAGATCGACAATGAAGTTGCGACTGCGCGACAAATCGCATCTTGCAGCTGTTATGGGGTATTTTCCCATAGATCGACAGTTTCACAATCGCGACGCTTGAGTAGAAACTGATGGCTTACGATCTATCCGTGAAATCCGCAATCTTTTGTCGCATGTGATTTGATTTGAAATATATTTTTTATACTTTGTTTGTTTGTCTGTTTGCTATTCAAATATGTTGTAACTATGTCCTGATTGATGTTTATAGCAAGAGATATTTCTAAGAGGATATACCTCGCTATATAGAATAAATTATCTTTTTTGGAGAGCATAAATTATCGTTACATTTTTCAGACCTGGGTGAGGTCAGACTAGGTCCTTCTCTGCTTTTAGCCAGGCCCCAGATATCACACGCTGCATCCGCATCCGCGGCCGTAGCTTCTAGTCTGGTTGTCCATAGTGTTAGATTACAATTTTTAATAGACTTGAGATGACTTATTAATTTGATAAGAATATTTAGATTATACCAAACTTTTTTTAACTCTTCAGTATTTTCGATCTTGATATTGTTGTCAAATACTACCAAAAACTCTCCAAACTGTTCCTTTACCAAGTTAAAAGAGCGTGAAATATCGTACTTAAAGTAAAACCATAACATTAACTCTTACATTACCAACTCACTAAGTTTTTTCTGATCTATTTTTATTTTAATCCACCCAGTACACGTGAAAGGCGTCGGTATGTCAAATAGAAATAACAAAAAACTTCAATCTCACGGCTAATAAAACGCATTAAGTGATAACTTACATAACTGAGGTTAATCCATTAAAACTTTTTTGACAAGTATCACACTAAGGTGAGGGAAATTACAATCGGACGCATTGTTTTGTTTTCATATTCTAAAATGACAGTTACATTAAAAAAAACACTTAATACAAAGTACTTAATCTTATGTCATACTAGTATGTTAACGTTGCTTTAGTTTTATAGTTTTTAACTGCCTTTAATATTCTCATAAAACCTACAGAGATTCTTTTTATGTTATAGGTCGGCAAACAAACAGACGGATTACTTGATGGTAAGTAATTAGCGCCGGCGCCGCTCGCGGATACTCGTCACAACTTTGACAAAGTTGATGACGATGATGAACTCCTTTGTGATGGAAAATGTCATTAACTTTGTGATATATGTATAATTAAGTCAACTCTGAGAGTTTGTCTTAGGTAATATTCTAACCTATGGAAACTATTAAAGGTATAATCCTCCTCTCTCTAATCTAATCTCTCCTCTCTGTAACGTAAGTAGCCGAGATCCTACGTGGAATTTTATTTTTTTAAATAATACCTAACCAACAACAATGAGCCCCTAAATATCAATGGATGGACATGAACAACTTATTTCTGTATAGGTCACAATATTATGTTTATAAGAGTAAATAGCATCCTACAATGTTATTGATTCACAGGCTACAATTAGCCAGCCTCGTCAATGAAGCGTGTGATCGCCTTATTGCAGCTGGTTCTCATACGTGCAGATCTTCAGATAAAACACCGTAAACTATGGGACCCGTCGGCTAGCGGGACCAAATTGGGTCCCTAACAATGTGCCTTAAGGTCTATTATCATATCTTTGTACACAGCTTTTGTAATGGAAATACTAAATATTAAACATGCTATAAACAATGTCACGAACATTTTCTTGCACAACACAAAAGCCTGTCTGAAATCATATAAATAATTCTTAAGAATCATAGGGGTAAAATATTAATACAAGTAACCTCGTAATAAAATACTTTTTAAACAATAGAAAATAGAAATGCAACTAACCACAACATAAACAAATTAGATTATTTGATTACGTTTACAAAGAGTCGTTAAACTCGTCCGAAGTAGTCATCCACAACAATCGGAGACAGTCCGCCGATCTTAACTCACGCAAAAAATCAAACAATAATATGCAATTTAGTTCGATTCCGATCTAAATAACTTGTGTGGGAACCCAGTTATGACTGCCATTGAGAAGATAGAACAGAAAACTCAGAGCAAACTTTGCTGTTGAGATAATGCAACCCTAGAGTGGGACCAGCCGGGGTTGTGGGGTAGGCGCAAAAAGTCATCGTGGCCTCGCGCCAGAGCAGCTGCAGAAGGAACGGGGGATTTTAAGACCCTGGGCGGGAGAAGTCATTTGATGATTTTCCCCTTATAAAAAAAGGTAGGGAAATGATTTTTTTAATGCAGTGATTTGAATATGTGTCGGAAGATGAGGCAAAAATGGTGAACTTAATGTGATTTTTAAACCATCTACTAAGCCTGGAGTTAAAAAAGGAATCTCTATTTAAGTAAGTCGAGCACTTCTTTGACGAAGAGACTGACTTTTGCATTTGTTTTCTTTTCAGTTTTTTTTAAATAGTTATAATGTCGATATGAAAAAGTCCAATTAGTAACTATTTATAAAAATAAAATTCATTTTTTGATTAAAAAAAATGCTCGTAGGCACAAATAAACATATTTTTTTTTAAATCTTTATTAATTTTATAGAGGGTTTGATCAAACATGAACATGCCACCCTCATAGGCCTTACAAAATTAACTTACCTACGCTTAATTGCTAATTTAACTAGTTTATAAATTGATTTTGCCTCAACTGACAGAGGACGGGCTAGAATCAAGTTAGTTCGTTAGTTATTAGTTAGTTCCATTTCGATATTCTTCTGTTAGCCTTCTGCAAATAAGTGCCTTCAATACACAGTCACTATAGTCAGTCAATCTCTCAAGGTGGCGGAACATCTTACTTCCTCACCCATTGTTTCTTTATGGGTTAAAATAGCGGGTTTTAGTGTTCCTATTAAACATCGGCATTTTTCTGATACTAAATTGCCATGGGAATTCTTGTTAAAATGTTATACAATGATCCTTTGAAACGTGATGATCACTAGATAAGTAATACAAGACATAATATGGATAACTAACCGCTAATTTAAGTCGTTAACTTCCATGTTTTTCTTTGTTAAGCTAATTATTAGTCTTTTAATCTTTCATACGTGTAATAATGACCGTTAACTTCTTGATGAAGACATTCATCTCTATATAAAATGTTTATGTTTTGGATTATTGTAATTGTTCTAATTTATTAAATACTTAAACAACGCTTGAACTTCAATCATACTTCTTTTTATTCTTAACTTTATTTAGATTTTTTTACAAAATGTTTGTCCATTGTAAATTCCATTGTAGCTTCAAGGCACGTTGGTTTCGATAAATTCATTTTAAATATACCAACATCTAATTCATTATTTCTAAGTTTATTACTTAATAAAAACACAACTTTCAAGTTAGGAAACATGATAAAATTCTTCTAATTTATTAGGACAAACTAAACATTACACCATCACAAAAAACTTGTGAACATTGAATTTACATACATATAAAAAATAAGAAAAAATACTTCAACTCCATAAAAACATTTTTATTTCTCCCAAAAATGGCAACAAAAACAAAACATTTGTATGTTACAAAGAAGGCAAATATAAAATTACACAAAAACTTTCCAAATACCTATGATACACATCAGACCCTTAAACAAAGACATGGGATTAAGAGCTCAGATAACTTTATATCACCAAGAATCTGCTTCCAAATAGGGTGCTACCAAAATTGCAGCTACTTCACCATTGCGTGTGTCCGTCTGTCCGTACAGTTAACATTCTTCACGCATTACAACATAATGGCGGTATTCTTAAAGATATCATCGCTTGCTACAGTACAATACTGGATAGTGAATAGTTTGTTATAAATAGACGTCGTGTGAGATTGTGATCGCGGTGAATGATCTGCTTGCGACTTCGAGGTACTGTTGGGTGGGCTGTCGTTGGTCCCATTATGTTTTCGGTGATCCAACTATAAATCCAAAGTCGCTTGCCAAAAATAAGAGTAATGGCGAATTGATTTGGGAACGTAATTAACAAAATAACTTCAAAAGACAAAACGACACGGTGAAAAAATGTTTCATAATGGCGGGAAAAGTAATTCCCTATACGCGCGCATCGGTCATAGACTAAAAATGAGGTTTCTTTTTTTCGGCCTCTTCGCGGGTAGCATTTAAGCGCATATGCATGTAAGCGTAACTCAATCAATAATGTAAAAAATCTCTATACAAACTCTTGAATTAGTAATGAAATAATTAAGTTTGATTATATGTAGGTGTCATTATGTGCATAATTGCCATGGGATTAGAGCCACTTTATGAGGAAGTGTGTCACAAATAACAAATTATACTACTAACAAAAAACAAATGAATTCATCTTCTTGTTCGAGTAAGTGTAATGAGACAGAATTACAGAAATTTGAATTACATTGACACAAATCAAGTTACAATTGACGAATTATTTCGCAATTTAACAGTTCAATTCTACTTGTGCTCATTGCAATGTTTAATTCAAATGCCTGGTTGCAACATTATGTGTTTGGTTTAGAACAAATTGGTACTTAACACTGGAGCACTATATTTTGTAACTAATTCAATTTAGGCAATAACGGATATGAGGATCAATATGACTATGTTTTTTGTACTTCTTTTTATAACTTATTCTAATAATATCTTAATGATAAAGTTTATAAACATTCATATGATTGTACGCTAATTGTCGACTTAAAAACGATTAACTATCCGATCGAAATTCAGCACAGATTTAGAAAAATCCCCAATATACACATACTAATACCAAACCATATAACAAATGCTACATTTTAATTAAGTATTATAATGAAAAGTTTAAGTGTCTATCATTTTTGTACAGTTGTGGGTCGAAGGTTCCCTGACTGATTAACTTGTAGCATATTCTAAAGTAATAATAAACAGGCTTTTAGATTCTTGAACTTGTATTTTCATTCTAGACCACGTATACGAGAAAAGAAGAACCATAACGCAATTTTAATCTAAAGACAAATACCTACAAACTATGAAACTATTATCTGATAACTAGCTACTCCCGCGCGGTTTCACTCGCTGCTCGTCTCCATTTGATTGTCGCGTGATGTTTTATAGCTTATAGCACTCGGGAACATTGTAGCTATCAATAAGTGAAAGAATTTTGGGAATCTGACCAGTCGTTCCAAAGATTACCCCCTACATACAAACTAACAAACTTACAAGTTTTACCCCTTTATAATACTAGTATAGATGAACAGATTTTAAAGCTAGCAGGAGCGCTTGATTAGATGTCAGTCACTTTGGTGAGAGCTACAGCCGACATGACGTGACAGTTACCAAGTCTGACAGTTGTCAGGTAAACACGTTACTTTATTTATCTTTTACAGAAATCATGTTACTGATATATGTGTAACGATTTATTTATTGCTTCACATGTAACATTGTAAGTAACATGAATAAAACGTTTGTGCTCGACATGCGTGTATTTTAGATTTGTGTTATTCTAAACCGTGTAATGTCAATGATTTCATTCGTCAGGTATCATCAGCCTATATGTGCCTACTGCTGAACAAAGGGCTCTTCTCATATAAAGAAAGTTTGAGAATTAATTACCACGCTTGCCCAAGGCGAATTTGCGTTTCCAATTTTGCATACAAATTAATCGGAAAAATTCACATTGGTACTTGCCAGGTTTGAAACCTACGTCCTCAGTCATGAGGAGGTCAATAGCCTTAACCACTATGACATCTGATCTCATGATTCCACCATAAAACCAAATAATTTACTCCAATTAAACAAAAAAAGGATATTTAAGTCAATTAAACCGATAATAGAAATGTCTAGAAATCAGTCTGTTTCCCAGAGCAATTATTAGTTGTTTCGAAGTGCAGATTAATTTCAAGAACAAGAATCTTCATAGTTACTTTCTTTCTATCAATTTCTCTTCAAAGCTTCAACTTCTATGGCAAAGATGGCATCTTAATATAATTGAAGTCAATGTTTACAGCATTGATAATATAATCAAGCCCATAATTGCGAGTACGGTACAAAATTGAAAAACCTTCGTAGTACTCGTCCTATATTTAAAATCATAGTGTTGTCCCATACAATCAGTTAAATAAAGCCTTAGCATTATTACAGGGCTCGTCTAGCTCTAACGGATAGTAAAGGGAGGCTTGGAAGGCTTTCACTCGTTCATTATAGATTACTATCAGAATATCAGTTACTTTCATATCCTTTCCAATACAGATCCGTTAGTTTTTAGTTACAGTTTTGTCAATGTTACCTCCGCTTTGTCTATCACTAGTAATTGATAGTAAGCTATGAGTTAGATTTGTTTGAAGTTTTTATTACTGTCTTTTAGTAGGAGTTCCGAAGTAATTTTATTTCTTCGTATACATATATGGTCATAGAAATAAATACCCACGTTACTACCGTTAAATGGCTTCTTATCGTATTTTTTCTTTTTGTTTCTTTCATAAAGATTAAAATGTATGAGTATGTAGCTTATAAGTTTTAAGTTAGCTACGGTTCAGCATGAGCACGCAGCCTAGACTGGAGTTATTATGGTTTACAAAATATGCTACTGTAGTTTTTCTTGTGAGTAATACAAAGTCTCCTCCTCTGAACACCCACATCTCTACATCCACAATCCTCTACGGACAGCGCCGATTGCTTACCATACCGAAATTTTTCAATCAAACTGCTCGTTTGCAGCCCTAACCCAAAATAAAGCTTTTTACGCTACTCCCAGTTCTCAAGTATTGCTTTTTAATTAACTGCGCCATAAACCACAAGAACTCCATTTACAAAATTAATCAACCTATAAAATGAACATTGCTTCTAAAACATTCAACCATGTTGTACATATTATCAGCACGGTTCTCAGTAAGTACTAACGCGTGGCGCTCCGGCCCGGTCCGGTCAAGTCACTTTCATTTTTTCTCGGTTCTCTGTGTAATTAACGATAGCTCTGCTAATTTCCGTTATTATGTCACCGATGTTTGTTTTTCTTGTAACTTGACGTTCTTAGACACGTGTTTCCTATACAACCAGTTGTGATAGGATACCTGTACGCTAGTCTCATTTTAAAATAGCTGGTTGTATTTTATAGCTGGTTCAAACGCGTGTGATTTGAAATCAACTAACAGGAATGATGAACTATCATAGTATTATAAATTGGCATAAAAATAAACTTGTTTGAAATTGTATGTGAAGGAAAGGAAAACTATTAACACATTTCCCAAATACATTGGGTAAATTATATTACAGTCAGTACACAGGAATCCTTGTTATTTAAAAAGTAAATAAGTATTTGTACATTTTTCACATTCCACGTCTAACTATTGATCCGTGTAAACTGGGAAATGACTTGGAATAACTCGGATTACGGTCTGCTGGGCTCTCGATGATTGTCCATCTAAGTGCTCTATGAACAACAGTTACGATAAACAAATTGTGGTTTATTATGATACTTTGTCTTTGCGCAATGGTAATCAATCCTTTTTTTTTTTTTTTTGTCAGGGGAAAATCATCCAATGACTTCTCCCGCCCAGGGTAAGGCGAGAGAGAGTGTCAGACTCTTACTGACTAAAAACCCCCCCGTTCCTTCTCCTGCTCTGGGCCGAGGTCGCGGTGCCTCATTGCGCTTACCCCGCAGCCCCGGCTAAACATCAGCCCTTTAGGGCCCCGACTGTGGTGGTCTATTGGCTCTTTGAGGCGCGCGCGGAACGCTACGCGCCGTACGCTCGGGTCCGGTTCTGGTCGGGCGGCGAGCTACCCTTACTCGCCGTCCGCAGACCCGCGCTTACGGTGGCCGGAGATCATCTCTCGATCCCCGACGTCCGGAATGTCGCCTTCTGCGGCGGCTGGGGCGCGAGGAGGATAGTTCCCTCACGCGCTCCGCCTCCTCCTTTGCGAGCATAACTGCTTCGCAGAAGGAGGAGATAGCTTCCCAGTTCCTCTCACGCTGCACCATGGCCTCGATTAAGGCCGGGCGCGAGAGGTCGCCGCCGCCGATGGTAATCAATCCTAAGTTTTTTATTTTAAAGGCAATACTAGGAACTTAGTACAGCTTTTTTTTGTGAGGGGAAAATCATCAAATGACTTCTCCCGCCCAGGGCCGGCTGGGAGGGAGTGTCAGACTCTTACTGACTAAAAACCCCCCTGTTCCTTCTCCTGCTCTGGGCCGAGGTCGCGGTGCCTCATTGCGCTTACCCCGCAACCCCGGCTGAACATCAGCTCTTTAGGGCCCCGTCTGTGGTGGTCTATTGGCTCTTTGAGGAACTTAGTACAGCTGACAGCACAATCTCTGATATAATAAACATTGGTTATTTTGTTCCTCGATAGGAACATAAAACATAAAATTTTTAGTGTTACGAAATTCATGTTCGTTTTTCATTGATACTTAATTGTTTTACGGGATTTAACGCGAACGTACCTTTTATTTGTTTTTTGCTTAACGTTAGTGTTTCATGTTTGTTTTTGAATTACAATCTTCTACTTTTATTTAAATACTTAAGGAAGGATGTATGAAAGTGTATATTTATCTTTTACTAGCCACTCTATCTTGTTATGATAAATTTTATTGAGCTCCCTTTAATATTTATTACATCCATAATTTTTGTTTTTTTTATGTAATTGGTCGGCAAACGAGCAGACGGATTACCTGATGGTAAGCAATCAGCGCCGCCCATGGACACCCACAACGGAGGATTTACGAGTGCGTTGCTGACCTTTTAGGGATTAGGGATTTGGAGATTTAGGGATTGAGGAGGGATTGAGATCGGGAAAGGATTGGGCCTCCGGTAACCTCACTCACACGGCGAAACACAACGCTGTGGTTGTTTCACGCCGGTCTTCTCTGAGGCCGTGGTATCACTGCGGTCAAGCCAACCCATTCGTGCCGAAGCATGGCTCTCCCACACTTAACTCACATACGTACCTACAAATAAGCGCTTTTAATACTTAAAAAAGATTTTTACTCAAACCAACCTCATTCGCGTTATGTGGTCTTTCTCTAGATTAACTACCTCGTACACTGAATCGCATATTTCCGCTATTCGCACAAATGTAGTCATTTTATATACTTCCTTGCACTAATAATAGTTCACATTACTCTAACGACAGTAGAAATATATGTAATGTAATGAAAAACATTTGAAATGAAAAGTAATCAAGGCAGTGATCAAGAGTTTGGTATAACGGGTTCCGGTAGAAATCGAAACGTAGGTCAGGCCCGTTACGACATCATCATGAGGTGCTTGACCTTGCCGCTGCTTGAGAAGTCATCAGGGAAATATAAAATACTGTACTTTTACTTTTTTTCTTCGGTTTTCATTTGCATTGGGGTAATGATGTGGTCGATTTCTATATGATAATAGTTTTTTGACTGCGGCTTACGTAATGGCAGAATTATGGCCGAATTTTATTAATGTCCAACAGATCTCAAGATACTTTTAGTTTAGTTTAACTCGATGATAAAATAACACGGATATTAATCTATTAAAATTAACGATGGATATAATAAAATGAATTATTATTACAAAGTGTTGTGTTTCGCTGTGTGAGTGAGGTTACCGGAGGCCAATCCTTCCCCTACCCCAATCCGTTCCCTTTCCCAAAATCTCCAAATCCCTAATCGTCTCCGGTCGACAACGTACTCGTAACTCCTCCGTCGTTGCTGGTGTCCATGGGCAACGCTGATTGCCATCAGGTAAACTGATTATTCGTTTGCCGACCTATCACATAAAAAACAACCCTAATTACCCAGCTCTCAAATCGTTACAGTTTAAAAGTTAAATGAGGGTTACAGTAACCCTCTGGTGGTCAAATGGAGGCGCCAATTGCTTACTACGAGGTGTACCGTCTGCTCGTTTACCGCTCAATTATATAGAAAAGAAATCATAAAAACAAATGAAATTATAAAACGCAAGAAAAGAAATAACGTTTTGCAGTTTTTTTTATTTCCAGGAACCTGTTCTCTACCTAACAGGTTACTCACATAAATACCGTGATTCGACTCACTACTGATGTAGCTGTAAATTTCATTGCACTCACATTTACAAAAGTCGCAAGTCACAGTACTCAGATTTTGTGATTATTGTGTAACAGTTTTGACCCGAGTTCAATAATCTATACTGTTGAAGAACTTAGTATTATTGCAAGAATGGTGCTAGCAAATTATAGAGTTATTCGACTTTATGTTATGACATTATTGTTTTCATGCAATTGAATAGTGTTTGATGTAGGTCGTTAAAATGTAATATGAACACATTTTGTTTAAAACTTGTAAAGTTAGTAATTAGTTAATTTAATCGGTAAAAAATAGAAATACACATTGATTTTACAAAATGCACTATATTATTCGTATTTACCTAGATATTTTTTCTAAATCAATTATTATATTAAACTAAAAAAAAACGTATTAAAGTAAACACAATAAACATTCCAGTACATACATAGTTCATAAAAGAATATCCATTCTAAACCTTAAAAAAAAATTGAATTAGTCAAGGTTTTGATTATCTAAATTTATTGAAACATTATTATGTGACTTCTCTGAATCGTGGATTTATTATACATACATTTATACATTAAGAATAAGTACACAAAGAACATATTTTACTTTCAAAGTGATAGCAAAGATGGGAAAGTATTCAGCAATAACTTTTGCCAATAGCTGCCAATGTACGTATAAATTATGGATTCTAGTAGTGGAACTAAATATTTTTTATTTTGACTTGCTGTTAGAGTTTCACACGCTTTCTCAATGCTTTCGTTTGCATATTTCGCCATTAATTGACTTCGGCAAGCATAAACGTCTCCTATTTTTTGAAATAATTGTTCTTCAAAATTAAAATAAATATAGATTTAGATTTAATCAAAGTTTTAATATGATTTAAATCTTTTGTAAATAGCATGAAACAGAATATTATTTTGTATTATCCGAAATAACAGAAAGATGTTAAAGTTATAAGCCGATTATTGTCATCAAATTAAAAAAAAAAACACACTCACTGCGCCCAGAAATCGAATCTGAAACCATTTTCTCTGCAGCCATTACTATAACTTTCCTCTCATATGCTTAGAAAATATGGCTAAAAGACGAGATATGGTGTCAAAGGTCACATGGAAGCTATAATGATACCCTTTCAAGATCAGCACTGACTCATGATCCCAGCAGGTTGCTAACAGCTCTTGCGCAATAGTTCTTGAACTTTCAACCAGTTTGATGCGCACGCGATTACCGCTTTCTTCGGAATCATCAAAATGCTTTTGTGATGAGAGAAAATGATTTAATGTTCATAAATATATACGAAAATACTTTAATGACATGCAAATTAGGTGATATATGTATGTATTTACATGCTTTAATAAATTATTTTGTGAGTGTTTATTCCATAGATAGAAAAGATGAGACCGATTTAATAAAAGACGGGCTGTATGTGTGTCTATAAAAATGTTTTTGTCAAAGGGTTATGTAAAGGAGAATGGAAAAGAAATAAATATATTTTTGATAATTTTTTGACATTTATTTTTATAACGTTTTCAATTTGCGTTTATTAGTTTTAACTCTGTCTAACAACACACTCAACACACGTTAACACACTCAAACACAATCATTATTATTTTGTTGTAAACAACCACCTTTTGTGCATAAATAGCAGATAAGATTTGCGCATTGCGTCGCAATAAAGTCCCTACTGGGGCTGGTTTAACCCCGAGTGGATAAAAAAAACAACACACTAAGATTCAATTTCCATGGCATTAAGTCGACCTTGCACATAATTTTGTGCAAATACTTTATTCAATAAAACGTTAAAAACAAACGGAAAATAACACTACTCTCATCTTCGAAATTTCAAATATTTCGCAAGTTCACCATTTTATATTCGACATTCCAATGTACAAAAACAGTTCATGATCAGTATTACAGCACACGCGCTTCCACGACATGACGTGCGCGAGCGCAGTATCGTCACGGTTCCGATCCGATGTTCCGATGAATGTATAATCGAATAATCGTTCGTCCACGGTTCACCGGCAGCGCAAGAACAAAGCGCTCATAGTTTGTCAGTACATAATAATATTGTGATACTGTTGTGATTGGAATGGGGAAGAAAAATACATAGGTACGGGTTTCTGAATTGAAATTATGTTTAAGATAGTGATTTGTCATTAAACAACTGGCTGGTAAGTATGATTAGATGTTTGTTTTTTTTAATGACTTTATAGTCTTCTAGCCTCCGCCCGTGGCTTCGCCGGCGTCGTATGTTATGACCTGGAGCATACCAAATTTCAACATAATCGGTCCAGCAGTTTTTACGTTACAGAATAACAAACATACATTCTCACAGACTTTCACATTTAGTAGGAGTACTAGGTTCTTCTTCTGTAAGTAGTACCTCTTTGGTAATAAAACTTGTATTGCAATCCGTTTTCATTACTTAGTAATATGAATCGAATGTAATTACACATTACATTGAACTTACAACTATTATATTAATGAATTATCTATCAACTCTACCAGTCTAGACGTTTATCAACCTATTAAATTAGCTTAAATAAAACTTTTTCAGCTAAACAAATAAATAAATACTATTTAAAAGTACGGCACGCAGTCAATCAGTCCGGGAATGCGGACGCTTCGTACTTTTTTCATCACAATCAGCTGTTCTCATGTTATTACGTGCACATGTTTGCGCTTGCGCCTGCGCACTGCAGGTGTATTTCCTCAGTTTTTGCGACGCACCGTAGATGCCATCGACCTGATCGAGTGCTCCCTTGAGCTTTGCACACACTACTGCACTCGGATACGATTCAAAGATGCATAGACTTGACTATTATAATTACTATAGTATTTTAAAAGTTATGTGTTATTTGCTCTAATTATCACATTATTTCTAATCAGGAGTTGGGTTTGCAGTTAGTTCCGAAAGTTTAGGGATTTTTTACTTGTCTTTCCGTTTTACGATCTCCTTTTTTGAGGATTATGTTATATGAAATACCATTGACAAATTTTTCAACACGAGATTGCTCTCGCTTTAGGTTTATCATTGTTCTCTGCATGGTTTGCTTTAATGTAAGAAGATAATAACTCAAACTTTAATAATTAGCCATTTAACAACATGTAGACGATATTTATAAATTATAAGTGTGTCAGTTCAGTAGATTTACAATAGCTGACATGTACCAGTTTCTTAATTAATTAAGACTGGGTTAAAAGAAGCCTATCAAATAAAATTCATGAATTGCTTTACATCATAACTTTAAGCTCTTTTTAGTCGGAAATGTCTGTATTCCAAAAATAATAACCTCTTTTTTCTGTTCTGTTCCTCACCTTCATATATTTTCTCTTACGTCGTGGGTATCTAACAAACATACAATTTCACCCAGACTCGGAAAAAAAAATGTATCACACAAAGAGTTATCCCGTACGGCAATCGAACCCGCGACATGTTTGTTGCACGGCCACCCAACCACCGGGACAACCGGACAGTCGTATAAAATGAGGAGTTGGTTTCAGTGTTTTTTAAGAAGAAATTATAATATATTGATAAGGCCATCATCATTCTTCGAAAACTTCATAGTCTTAGAATTTTGTCCAGTAGTACCTAAATAAAAACTGTCCATAGAAAATGATGGTCTGAAAATATTGTCTTTGATTTGTGATGAGCCTGCCCTTATTCAACACTTACTAGATTGAGGAAATGTATTGACAAACTGTCGCCTACTGGGAAACTAGAGTTACGATCATTTGTCGCCATGATTGATGAGCCTATTGACACGTCACATCACTGCCTCGCCTCGCCTCGAGCACAGAGCATGAGGAAGTGCAGCACTAGGGAATTTCTATCTCCGCACCATTCCGCACTCCGTGTTTTGTAAGCTGATGACA